TACCTAGTATATTGCTTAAAAGTATAGAGTCCTCAGGTGATTGGGGTGGCCAGTGGGGTGGCCAAAGATTTATCGATGGTGGCCAAGTTTACCATTGGCCACCCCTTGGCTCCGCCATTGCAGCTGGTGGTGGATTTTTGCTCCCGTAGCCTGTCAGGATCGGTCACTCTGCACTGCCTTGGACAAGAAAGAAACAATAACTCTCTTCTCATACACAGTGCAACTCTTTTTCACTTGAATATATTGCAACAAAAACATTAAGGTTGACTTGCATTCCCTGTTCCAAGTCCAGGAAAACACTCATCTCGAAAACTACAAATATTCACTATTCAAACTTTTCATCGATGGGGGACATTGGTGTGCTGCTTGTGTTTGCATGAAAACAGCTGATTCTCATAACAGCTGAACTGTTTTTAAGTGAAGCACTTGTGCAAATGAGTCATGGAGATGACGGCTACAGAGAAGAATGCAAAAGAAAACCTGTTAGAAAAGTAATTTTTGGTACATTTACAAATAAATGTTAATGCCAACTTTTAACATTTGATTTATTCTATGTCCACAGTTGAAGTCTACAGGAATAATAAAGGCTTGAATTCTTGTGTGTATCCCAAGTTAAGTGTACCACATCACCAACACACTGACGTTGCGTCTCATAATGTAAAACAAAATAAAATAAAAGATACATCAATGTTAGTAGTTTTCCTCATTTGTTTTTCTTTTCTTTTTTTTTTTTTTTACAATTAGCAACTGCAAAACACACAATAAATTAATAAGTTAACACACAAGCAGTCCGCAAAATGCTTTACAGTAGTAGCAATAACAGTGGTTAAAAAACATCTCGAAGTACAGTACAGTACAGTACATCAGCTCGAAGACAGTCTGACAGAAGATCTGAGCCGTGTTTTCAGTCAGACTGCCGTTTTAACACCATGGCTCACAGTCTACGACACGTACGTACACAGCTCTCCTGCACACAGCAGATATTTCTAGATAATAAATTACACATCCATTACATTTCAGAGAACAACACGCTCTTCTTCAATCTTTTTTTTCCTCTTTGTAAATCACAGTTCGTCTGGGAATGCTTTGTGCCAGTCCAACTTCACATGTCAGCCATCCCGTTTTATGAATACCTCATGAAAACAAAGCTTTTTAGGAATTTAAAAACAAAATTAAATACACTCAGAGCTTAATTTAGCCTGCGTTAACACTTGCTGACAAGTTTTGATTAAAAAAAAAGTGAATAAAAATACAAAAGCAGTAAAAACTGTAGAAAAATAATAATAATCAATAACACCATCAAAACTGCATGGCTGTATTATTTTCTTATTAAGATAAAGCTGAGATTCTCCCCTTCGTGGTTCCAGCCCACATTGAAATACTGGACTTTACTCGAACTAGAAACTGATCATTTTGTCAGCAACCCTAAATTCTTCTTCTTCAAAAAAGTTAGAATATTTAATGTAAATAAAAGCAAATTGCGATGATTGCCACATCTCATAAAACCATAATTAATTCACAATAGATTATAGTAGACATATCAAATATATAAACTAAGAAATTGTACCTTTTATATGGGAAAAAAAGGTTATTTTGAGTTTGATCACATCCTAAAAATGGAACGGGGCAATACATTAAAAAAATTAACAAGTACAAAAAAAAACATGGAAGAGCATTTTGCATTAAATTGGGTTAACTGGCAACAAGTCAGATAAAATGGATGAATGTTTCAGAAAACTGCATCTACAAATAGTGGAACCATTTTGAATTGATGTTCTTAAACCTAAGAAAATCGGCAAGACTGAATATTTTTGTCATCTACAGTTCATAATGTAAAAAATAAAAATAAAAGAGAAATCTCTGAGCTCAAAGGACATGGCTGAAAGTCATCTTCAGGCCCTCAAGCAGCACTTCTTTAAAAACAGGCCCAATTGGGCTCAGGAAGACTTCTAGACATCATTGTCTGTAGACACAGTTCACTGTGCCATCCATGAATGATGATTAAAGCTCTATCAGGCAAAAAAAAAGGCGTACATGAACACCATTCAGAAACAGAGCAGCCTTTTTTGGGACCAAAACACACTTAAAATGGAGAAGAGTGAAGAACTGTTCTGCAGTCAGGCACATCTAAATTTGAAATTCTTTTTCAAAATTTTTAAAACTAAAAAGGAGAGAGACCATGGAGCCTGTTATCAGCGCACAGTACAAAAGCCTGCCTCTCTGATAGTATGGGGGTGCATTAGCTTCACTCACATGGTCAGCTTAGAAATCTGGAAAGGCACCATCAATGCAGGACAGTATACGGGTTTTAAAAACACCATACGTGCTCCCATCCAGACAATGACTTCTTAAAGGCCTGGCATGTTTTTGCATGGCGATGGCTCCATAGTAAGAGTCCAGGTGCTGAACTGCCCCGCCTGCATTTCAGCCCTCTCACCAAGTGAAAACATTTGACGCAACGTGAAACAAAATCTCCAGCAAAGAAGACCCAGGACTGTTTAACAGATAGAATCCTACATCACACAAACTCCAGCAGCTGGTCTCCTCAGCTCCTAAATGGTTACATACATACTGTTGTTACAAACGAAGGGACGCAGCATTGGCTAACTGGCCACAGTGTGGCCCTGTCCCCGTTTTCTGTCATGCTGCTGCCATCAAATTCAAAATTACCTATTTTTTCTTTAAAATGGTACAATTTCTTAGTTCAACATTTTCCATTGTGACTAAAATATGAGTTTATAAGAATTAAAACTATTGAATTATGTTGTTTACATTTTACAGAACGTCCCAACTTTTTTAGGAAATAGGGTTGTAAAAACAACATGGTCCTTATTTGAATACCATTTTTGAATAATTTTAATTTTCAAAACACAAAATCCACAATCCAAACACAAATGAAAAAAAAAAACATAAGGCAAATTAAAGAAATCAAAGACTTCTTCTCATCTGGCAGGCTGTCATGTAAATGACCATAGTGCACTTTTTGTCTTTGACGAGTGCATGAAATTGTGGTCAACAAGATGCACTTTGGGATTTGTAGTTGTGTTAGTAATTTAAATATGGTTTCTTTTCAGAGGCATAAGTGTGTGGCAAATTATGCCTGCAGACAAATCAATGAAACAGACATGTCTTCATCCACTAAGCTTGTATTTATGGTATCTAGAGAGAGACTTCCTTTTTTTAATGAACTCAATTCACTTAATAAGTGCAGATTTTATATCTTAAAGCCACTCTACAAAGAAGTCTTTGTTTTATTTTCATCTTCCTGAACATCTGGCTGCAAAGGACTTGATAAATGCACTAAAATAATTAGCCTGTCATCCAGCCTGGCAGCTCTTAAGCATGGTTTGGGCTCAAACTTAATTGAAACCAAGGCAACAGTTGTGCACACTTATCATTAGGGAAATGGACACAAGCCTTTGCATATTTAAATGGCTATTTTCCCCCACTCGAACCTAGCAGACATGCGCTGCTAAGCTGAAACGATCGTTCACAGTGAAAAAAAATCCCCCTCCCTGCTTCTGCAGGGCTCGGCACAAATGACAGAGTGAAGTGAGAGGAGAAAGTCTGCCTGCGTGCCAAAAGTCAACAGCATCTTTGCTTTCCTGAGACCTGTAAGTGTACTGTCACAGTGTAACAATATAGTTCTATACCAGTTAGCCAGTGCTGCTCTTTTAAACAGCAGCTTTTAAGTAAATGACCAACTAAATGCAAGCTAAATGAAGAGCTGCAGAGGGATGGTGTGACCGCTTTAATCATACAATTTGTTTATGAAGATTGGACTGACGGCGAGGATGATGCATGTTTTTTTTTTATATACTGTTCTAACAGTCTGTATTTAAAGCTTTGGCAGGGCTTATTACCTTTATGGTCTGATTCTCTGCATGCAAACAGTGCCCTGCAGTGATTAGTATCACAGAAAGAACAGGCATAGGATATCTATGGCTTCTTGCCAAAAAAAATGCAAGTATTCATCAAGGCCCAGCAGTATTTATGGTAGTGATAAAAGCGTGGATACTGGAGATGCTTGACGTACGAATGGAGTTCAGTTTTTTTCAAGTCATTTTTGTACAAGTCAGTGTCAGGACTTGGCTCCCTTGGTGGGTTCAGTAGACTGCCGCACATCTGTCCACTCCTGCATGGTGTTCTGCAGCGCTTGGGTCTTTTCTTTGTCGACCTGCACGTAGTCCACCTTCTCATCAGATGTCACAGAGGATGTGGAGGGCTGTGGGAGTATAAAAAAGGCAGGAGTGGGTTTATAGTGAGAGGATAATGTGCACTATATTAAAAAAAAAAAATGAACAGAAAATGAAGCAGTAAGAAGCAGAGAATTGAAGGACTGCTGAAATTTGCTGACGAAGCAGAAAAGGAGATTTTAAAATAAAAGAAGCCAAAAGCAAAATGCTAGCTAAAAGCTGAAAGAAGCAAAGGGTAAGTTAATTTTTTTCAAATGGTAGCTAAAAGTAGCAAAACTAACTAAAGCTAGAGATAACAAAAAATAGCTGAACACTAAAGGTGGCAGAAAAATAGCTAAAAGCATCAAAAGTATATCTAAAAACAAAAAGAGCAGAATGGTAACTAAATGCTAAAAGTAGCAAAAAACTAACTAAATGCTAAATTAGAAAAATGGTAGCTAAATGTAGCAAAAGACTAATTAAAGCTGGAAACAGCAACAATTAGCTAAAAACTAGAAATAGCAAAAATGTTAACTAAAAGCGCAGCATGGTGGCACAGTTGGTAGAGCTGCCGCCTCTCAGCGAGCAGGTCGCCCCGGTTCAAATCCTGGCCGAGGGGTCTTTCTGAGTAGAGTTTGCATGTTCTCTCTGTGCATGCGTGAGTTTTCTCCAGGTACTCCGGTTTACTCCCACAGACCAAAAACATGCATGTTCGGCTGATTGGTAACTCTAAATTGTCCCTAGGTGAGAGCGAGAGAATGAATGGTTGTTTGTCTCTATATGTGTCCCAAAATGGAATAAGCGGGTAAAGATAATGTATGTATGTATGTATGTATGTATGTAAATATTTGTAAAGGTTGTAAAATCCAAGTCATTTCATTTCCTAAATGAAAGTGGGTGTGTAACAATACATTGATTTAAATCGATATATCGATTAAATTATTAATGATTCAATTATATCGTGGCAAAACTAAAACATCGATTCATATCATCATCTTTAAAATGCGCTTTTATTTTGAAATTCCCAAGGCATGTTTGCGTCACCATTTCCGTGCGCGGCTGCGCTCTGCGGCCGCCTCAGCAACATGGCAGACGAGGCAGAAAACACAGATAATGAAATTCACTCTTCTGCTGGATTTAAATCAACACTGTGGAAATATTTTGATTCCAACAGAAGGACGGCTGAACAGACAAAACTCATGCCGTATGCAAAAGGTGCCAGTGTGAGGTAAAATAACAACAACAAAGAAAAAACAACTAATTTGGCCGTTCACCAGAAGAAGAAACACGGCATTGATAGCCATATTACGTAAGCTCAATATCTATTTTTGTTTCTTTATAGCTGAAAGGTCATCAGGACACTTTTAAGTTAACTGGTATAAAAAAATGCACTTAAACATGAGAAATGTGAGACTATACTGAACAGGTCATGTATTTTTATTTTTTCATTAATTAAGAAAAATGTTTTCTTTTTTTAATTTAAATGCCTGGTACCTGTAATAACAGAAATAAAATGGTTAAATCCTATTTGAATTGTTTTTGTAAATTTACTTACATGTAAATGAGACAGGCGTTTGATATCGCAATACATCGATGGCAGACTTGCGAATTAAATAGAATCAAAATCGTATCGTGACAAACTTTGTGATATCGAGAAAAATCGTATCGTCATACAAACAAATCAATATATCGTATCGTGGTAAAGCTGGTGATTTACACCCCTAAATGAAAGGCGTGTTTTGATATACCTACAAGTAGCAACCCCCGCCCCCAAAGTATTACTGAATCAGCATTTGAACACTCATTTGCTCACTTTTCTGTGTGGGCTGGGCGAGCCCGGCTGGAAGTCCAAGGCTAAGTAGTCCACGCTGCCACACTTCCGAGAGGCTGGACTGCTGGTGCCACTCACGGCCGGGGAGGTAGATGCTGGATTCTGCTAAAGGGACCAAACAGAAGTGTCACTCACACACGATGAACCAGTGGATCACAGACAACCCTCCTCGGTAGATGCTGGAACTTACCATAGCCACATAATTCTCCTCACTGTCTCCAGAGTCCGTGCTGGTGATGCTTTGAGTGGAGATGGGTCGACAGGGTTGGGAGGAGTTCATAGCAGGCCTGAAGTAAACCGTTGTGAACAAGATTGGTTAAAAATGCTGCAACGGTGTTTACCATCCATCTGTGTGTGAGTAACCTGACTGATTTAGGACTCACATGGGTCGCGTCCAAGACATGGTGACGGGACTCTTATACGGCAGCTCATCGATGATCCCGCTGTTCTTCAAGTCGAGCGGTGTTGGCTTTGCTGAAGAGAAAATAGGAGCAAACAAAAACCAGGACCTTTACACAAACAATAACGCAAGATACAGAGTAACAACAACAACAACAACAACAAAAAAGCACCGAAATTAATGTCGAATTTAAAAAGACTCACATTTCCTGTTAGGTTTGAGGTTACGGTTGATGGGTGGCGGTGTGACATCACTGAGGCGACCGGGCCGGTGACACAAGGAGGCACTGCTGCCCTTACGAGCAGGTAACGTCGCAGAGAACCCTGGGAAGTCAAAGTGATGTGGCCCGGGGCTCATAGGAATGTAGTTATTCTTAGGGCTGTCAGCCTGGGCAGCGCTGAGCGGCGAGGAGCCAGGATTCATGGGCACGTAGTTGTCATCGGAATTTCCACTGTCTGAGCGAGTCAGAGGGGTGGGGGTTCTCTGGTGTTTAAAAAAAAAGACAAGTCACATGATTCTTAATCTCCCGTGGCTCAGTAATGTACACAAAATGTAATACTCAACTAAAGAAAATACAGAAAACATGTTTGATTTTAATTTTTTTTTAAGTTTTGACACTATTTAATCAGAGGCTCACCAGGTACGAACTGAACCCATCATTGACGGACTCCACAGACTGGCCCGAGTTGTTAAAATGAAACAGACGATGGTGGTTGTTGATCTCAAAGGAGGAGCCTGTGGAGATGGGCGAGGACGGAAATCATTATTTACGTCTGCCTTAAATGTTAGAGGGAAATAAAATGGCTTTCCACACGAAACAACACAATGCAAACCCATGTGTTAAATATTATACAAAAAGTTGCACAACGGAGGCCACTGAATTCAGAATCTTACTTCTAACCTACAAAGCCCTCAACAACCTAGCTCCATCTTATATTACAGAACTTATTGTTCCTTAGTTTTCGAACTGAGCACTTTGCTCTCAGACTGCAGGTTTACTTTCGGTCCCTAGAGTTTCCAAAAGCAGAATGGGAGGAAGATCTTTCAATTATCAGGCTCCTCTCTTGTGGAACCAACTTCCAGATCATGTCTGTAAGGCTGACACGTTGTCCAGTTTTAAGACTGGGCTTAAGACTTTCCTTTTTGATAAATCCTATAGTTAGGGTTGGCTTGTTATGCTGCTATAGGCTTAGACTACTAGAGGACAAATTGACCGCATTTCTTAAAATTAATTGTTACAATTGAATAGTTTTCATTTGACTGCCTGGCCACAAAAAGTTGCCACCAAAACAAAAAAAAGGTCACACACACTAATATTTCGTTGGACCGCCTTTAACTTTGATTACATCATGCATTCACTGTGGCGTTGTTTCAATAAGCTTCTGCAACGTCACAAGATCTATTTTCATCCAGTGTTGCATTAATTTTTCACAAAGATCTTGTATTGATGACTAGGAACTAGGCATGATGGGTGCATCACTTCACCTGCCTCTCTTCTTACCCTGATGCACCCATCACTCTGGAAGAGGGTAAATCTGGAATCAGATCACATGACCTTCTTCCATTGCTCCACAGTACAATCTTTATGCTCCCTAGCAAATTAAAGCCTTTTTTCCGGTTAGCCTCACTGATTAGTGGTTTTCTTAAGGCTACACAGCTGTTCAGTCCCAATTCCTTGAGTTCCCTTCGCATTGTGTGTGGAAGGGAGTTTTTCCTTTCCACTGTTGCCTTTATTCTTGCTCAAGATGAAAGTTCAGTTCTGTGGTGAAGTTAGACTCAAAGCAGTCTGCTCCTCAGATAAATAATGTTATTAACTTACTATATATGGATGCTTATGTTCAGTGCCCTGAAATGATCTCTGTTGTGACTTGGCGCTATATAACTAAACTGAATTGAATTGTGAACGAGGCGTGCGAGATCTCACAGATGTGTTATCGCAAAGTTTGCATTTGCCTGAATTTAAAGAAGTCATTCTTGTGTTTTCAATAAACAAAACAAAACTGTCTGTTTATTAGCTGCTTGGCTATAATTAGTTTTTGTCACACACATATATAAACAATCAGTGGCATCACAAACACAATTTCCAAATCAGTTTTTCTCTGAATTCTCTGGCAAAGCAACAATCATCAGAAACTAAAAAGCAATGCATTGTGTCTGTGGGTGACTCTTTTTTTTAATTGCTTATCAGTCTGGAACGAAGTGTTCTGGATCAGGCTGTATGACTTGAATTTCATTAGTGCCTGAACAGAGCAGTGTCTGCTACACTGGGCTCTTTGTTTCTGTTCAGCTGCTGGAGTTAAATAAGTAAAACGAGCGATGGAAGAAGAGAGAAAGTCGGAGAGGAAAAGGAGGCGCAAAGTCACTGCTGTATTGCAAAGGCGTGGACTGATCAAGTGAGCATTTGAAAACAGGAAACGGGGGAATAGAACGATTTCAAAAGGTCCGTCAGTGAGTTGAAGTTGTGTTTAAAGAAAAAAAAAAGAGTCAGCTTGTAGATAAAAGGTTTTAGAAGAGCAGCAGCTGCTGTGGGCCTACCTCTGTGCAGCCTGATGTTCTCAACAGCAGGAAGAGTATTCCTGCGCGGGATCATCGACACAGCCGACGTCAGGTCTCCATTCTGACTCCCTGCAGAATGGGGACTTCCCCACTGCCCCTCAGACCCCTGGCTAGGTTTAGGCGGCCTAGGTGGAGGGGCACAGGAGGATTCAGAGCTGGAGGGTGTCAAGGAGTTGTGATTCTTATCATAAGTCCGGGGGATCTGATAGAAGGAGCCAGGGGTTGTAGGAAAGTCGTAATTGTCAGGCGATCGCTCACTGCCGTGCATCGTGGCGAGGGTGTTGCAAGGGGTTTTGAAGGTATACACCTCCTCGTTCTCGAAATCAGGATCACCCAGACCGCTGTGAGCCGGTGCCTCGGCGCTGTAACCCCGCGGCAGTACATAGCAGGCCTCCTGGAGGGAGTCATCGTGCACGGATAAGTGATGCTTTCCAGGTTTGGGAAGGCTGTAAAAGCCCTGCAGCTGAGCACCCGTGCCGTTTAGACAGTGTGAAAAGCCGTAGGAAAGTTTCTGCACAGGAGAGTCGTTCCCAGCGAACATGCTGCTGCGTGTGGAAAAACTGGCGCTCCTGCAACAAGAGCAAAAATATACACGCATAAATGTATGTTGTTTGTAGCGTGGCCATTTTCATCTGCGCCTAAATGCATCTCTACAAACAGAAAGTGGAAAAATAATGTATTTCACAGCAGAGTTTCATGTAATTATCAAAATAACCACTAGATGGAGCTAGAGCACTGCAACTCTGCTTTGTAGGTTCCTGCACATTTTAAACGCATCATCCACTGACTGGAAAGCATTTTTTTCTCTATTTTGTAACGTTTACCCACAACACTTTTTGCTCTGACCATGTTTTAAGCATGCTGACAAGGAGAGGGCATTCGTGTTAAGAAAGGCAATGCTCTAACTTTCCCAGAGTTTCTCAGCCTTGGTGAGACACCCTGGGGACATGCCTCATTTACTCTGTCTCCTTTACAAGACTTGACCTTGACTACCAACAAAAGCAGCCCAACGGCTAAGACATTTCTGGACTGTTAGCTGAGCAATGGACCAATTTAGCTGGCCTATGCCAATTTACGATGTCTTATTTTTCATCTTTAATCCCTGCTAAGATTCTAAATGCTTCTACGACAATTCATTTTAATAACCAATCAGTAACACTGTTCATTTTACGATCCATTACAGCGGCTGAAAGAAAGATTTTCACGTGGAGTATTTCAGAACACTAGTCATCAGACCCAGAGTTTCAATCTGACACGAATCACACCCCATCATCAGATGCTCGTCTTGATTAGCCAGCTTATGAGGCACAAGCCGATGACCGAAATATTTACATAAAGCGAAAGATGGTTTGTGAGGATTAATAGTCTGGACTGAACAAAGTCCCCTGCGCAGCATGTGTACGAGCAAATTGTGTGGTTGAGAGCGCATTCCCACCCTGGGTGAGTCTAAAGCTATAGAAGAGATGAATTGCTGCCTCAACCTCATTGATCATCCATGGTGCAGGCTTATCTGCTGAATGGCATCGTTGTTACAGCTTCCTTTGGGCTCTTACAAACAGGCAGTATGGTTGAAGCTGAGGTGTATCTTAAAGGGAAATTCACTGATAAAATCAAAATATTTGGGGGTTTTGTTTCTTTGCTCAGTGAGAACAGACAAGTAAACTTGTTAGTATCCTTTCGTTAAAGAAAGCAACAATCCACAGGATCACTGAAATAACTTGAAACTGACAAACCCAATACGAAATACTGAAAATCAGTCGATTTCATTTGTGGTTCAACTTAATTCTCAAAAAAAAACCTACCATACTTTCCACCGTAAACGCCGCACCGCCGTATAAGTCGCATCAGTCCAAATATGTATAATAAAGTGGAAAAATAAATAAATAAATATGTTGCTTTACCGTATAAGTCGCATATATTATGCGTCACCGTTGACCACCCGGAAACGTGGGCCGGTGTTGTGCCAAAAATCAATCAGCTGTCAAATGGCGGCTGCGGGAGCATACACTGGAGGACTTTAACAAGAATTTAACTAGATTAACACTTAAAACAATTATTTATTTGCTCAAAATTAAAGCAAAGCTGTGTCTCAGTTTAACTTTTCCTTAATAAATGCACTTTAATGGTCAAATCAGTTGCATTTCAAAAGCCGGTTTGCGGCTGCTGGAGCGTGCAGAGGGACGACTCGCTGTGCATTTCTTCAAAATTTAACAAGATAACAACTGAAAAACAATTATTTGTTTGCTCGACATTATAGCAAAGCTGTGTCTCAGTTTAACATTTCCTTAATAAATGCATTTTAACAGTCAAATCAGCTGCATTTCTCCTGGGCAGCGCGGCGAAATGCAGCTGATTTGGCGTTCGCTCCAGGAGTTCCAAAGCAAGATGAAGGTGGCTTGGTATGGCAAGCCAAGTGTCTCATTAATAGCCACTTTTACCTGTTAATGAAGCACTTGGCTTGCCCTCTAGCAGCTGAAAATGATAGTGTTCAATATTTTCCAGGTCAGAATGAATGAAAACAGTCAGCGGTCAGTCAAAAATTGGGTTATAAATATGGGGAAACAACATAAATATGTTGCTTCACCATATAAGTCGTAGGGCATGCAAATTCATGCAAAAAATTGCAACTTATATGGCGAAAATTACGGTATTTGGCTGCATGTTTTGGGTCATTATTGACAGAGGTCCAGTTTTCTGACACTGGGCAGTGCATTTTGTGCTAGAATGCCTCGATAGTCTTGAGACTTCACCGCACCCTGCACCAGGTGCAGCAAAGCAGCCACAGAGCATAACCTAGCTTCCTCCAGGTTTCACTTTAGGTACAGGGTTCTTTCCCTAGAATGCTTCATTTTTGCATCTGTTAATGTAGATCTGAACAAAAAGTTCCAGTTTTATCACATGTATCCAAAGGACATTCTCTCAGAAGCTTTGTGGCTTGACAATTAGCACTGGGAAAATTCCAGTCTCGCTTTCAACAGTGGTGTCCTTCTCTGCCGTCTTCCATCAAGTCCACTTTGGCTCAGAGTAACCGATCATGCGATCTGACACTGATGTAGCTTGATCTTGGAGTTCACCTCTAATCTCTTTGGAAGTTGTTCGGAGTTCTTTGGTTACAATGTATAATATCCTTTTCTTTATATTGTCATCAGTTTTCCTCTTGTGGACACATCCAGGGTGGTTGTCTACAGACCTGTTAGACCATAAATCTCTGAATAATCTGTGCCACTGTAGTCACAGGAACATCAAGCTGCTTGGAGGTGGTTTTCTAGCCTTGTCTGTAATTTTCTTTCTAAGATTTTGAGACAACTCTGTCCTTAACTTTCTGTGATCCATGTTCAGTGTGGGACGCACCATGATACCAAACAGCCCTGTGACTACTTTTCAATCTTTAAACGGCAGACTGATTATGTTAAAGACCCCTGTGATGCTAATTACAAGACACCCCTTTGTTTAACATGTCTCTGTGGTCAAATTATTTAAATTTTTTAGGGCTACAATCCTTTTTTTCAGTATATAAGGATTTAAGATATACACTGATATATGCTAAACAAATGCTAACAGGTATGCTAAAAGAGCTGATAAACGCTAAACACGAATGTACAATATGGCGTATCAACAGCAGCTCGAACAGGAGTCTGTGGTGAGCAGATGGGTATGAATGAATACAACAGCATGAAATAATCAGCAGCATGAGATCAGCAGCATGGAAAATCAGCAGCACAGATAAATCACATATCACCAATTAAAGTGACATTACAGTGATTAGCCTGGTTAGAGATTCAGGAGTCCAACAGCTTCAGGGTAGGAGCTGTTCCTCAGTTCTACACTTAATGCTCCTCAACCTCCTGCCTGAGGGCAGTGGGGCAAAAAGTGTGTGTGCCTTCACCACTCTCCTTCTTTCTGCAGCTGTGCAGCCTCCATGCCACATGTTAATGCTGCAGCACAGGATGCTCTCCACTGCACACCTGTAGAAGGAGGTGAGGACTGAGCTTCCCAGACCAGCTCGCCTTAGCCGTCTGAGGAAGTAGAGTCTCTGATGAGCTTTCTTGATCAGGCTGCTAGTGTTGTTGTAGGTTGTAGGTTGTCATTCAGGTGCACGCCCAAGAACTTGTAACTGGAGACCACTTCCACCGCAGATCCTTCTATGTTCAGGCGGGAGGTTGGTGTGTTTTCTCTGTCTGAAATCCACGACCATCTCCTCTGTGTTCTTCACATTGATGTGAAGGTTGTTCTTCCTGCACCGATTCTCCAGGTGTTCCACCTCCTGCCTGTAGCTGGACTCATCGCTGTTTGTGGTGCAGCCAACCACCGCTGTATCGTCTGCAAACTTTACAATATGGCAGCCTGGATGGGTAGGTGTGCAGTCATATGCGAGCAGCGTGAACAGGAAGGGGCTCAAGACACAGCCACCACCTGGTGCCACCACTTATTTTTTGAGAAGACTTCACCTTCAGTTTGCTGTTATTTTCTCATAATTCTTTATCACGCACGCGCGCACACACACACACACACACACCTAGATGACTCTTCCCCTACAACAGTAGTTTTAACCCTTTGAGGCTTCTGAGCTGAGGAAGCGCTGCAAATCTGTGTGTTGACCTGCAATAACGGAAAACAGGAAACTGACACAGGACGTCTGAGTGTCACGACTTTTACCGTGCACTCTCCGTCTTCCTGCTCATGCACTGGTGGAGGAGGAGGTAGTCCTGAGGTGCGCTGTTGGACAGGGAGCCATGGTGTGAGTGGCGCACGGGCACATCAAAGGTGAAGAGCACCGGCTGGCTAGAGTGGACGGGTGCTGAGGACTTGCGTTCTCCGCTCACAGGAGCCATTGAGCCGGTGACATCTGCTCCGACAGATCGAGGCATATGGAGCAATCTGCTCTCTGCAGACAAACAGAAATGAGAGACATTGATGATTTCCAACGAACATGTTTATGTTTCTATTAAAATAAGGAAACTTATGAAAACCTGACGTGCTACAGAAATAACAATCAAGTTATTATTTTTAAATCTATTTTTTCTGTCACAATTTGTGAATTAAAATAGGCAGTTTGATATTCATTTGAGAGTTTAGGGTCTTGTGCCGTCTTGTACTCATTACCCTTTCGTCTGCACTGCAATCAATACAGGAGAGAAATCCGTCTCCAGGGAGGACAGAATACAGCATCCCTCTGCTTTCAGAGCTGCACGGAGCCAATGGTTGATCAGCACATGATCCGAGTTAAACCAGGGTCAATGTGCTTTGTTTGATTTTATTGAGCTGACCATTGTTCTGCAACCAGGGACAGTGTGACAATGTGCTCCTACAGTCTTATTGTTTTTCTGTGTGACATCCCCTGATTTTTCCATCGACTACAAAGAAAAGACAAATCCAAGATGAGGATGTTGAAAAATGGACTGGGCAGGAGGCCAACATGAGGAGGTGCTCTGTGAGTGGAGAGTGGGCGGTCTACTGATCTATCGACCGATGGTGCTGTGTGCAACAGTAGCTAGGAGAGCTAAAAAAAAAAAAAACATCTCAGCTGCTGCTGAAGCTCATTTATATATTTTACTGTCCATTACAACAATACAAGGATTGTATGAAAATACATATTAACTAACAAGTTTCATTCCAAATGAAATGTATCCAATGAGATAAATACCCAAGGTATTTTGGTACACAATAATCCAACATGTTTACAGTAAAAACTGCATAAAAACATTAGTACCTTTTAAAGTCAAAGTCTGAAACCAGAAGACATTTATCCATAAGACATTTTAGACCATTTTCTAAACTCAACTGTGAGATGTATGCACCTTTATACCAACATTTTAATCAGTTCCCTATATTTCCCCATTCGTAAGAATTACAAAACAATATGCGTCACCCTCTTTTTGAGAAAAAGCCAAAGTGTTTAGGTCAAGATCTGAGCTGAAAAACACGAACAAATGTGTTGTGCTAGCATGCATGCATGTGTGGTGCAGTTGGAGGCCTGTACTCTGATGTCCAGTAGCTGAATGAGGCCACATTCATGCCTGAGGCGGGGAAAGCCTCTGTTATGAGGTCTCCAGGCCAGTGGACACCAGCGAGATGCCCCAACCCAGAGCAACTCAGGCAGGGACTCCCCCCCTCCCCTCCCCGGCAATCCTCAATTACACCATTGTTCTGAGTGATGCCATTCTCTCTGGACTGGTTAGGCACCATCTCCTTTCTCCACAAAAAGCTTTGTAAAAGCTTTCATCCACTGTGGTGAGTACTAGCCCCTCTAATATGGGTAGATATATTGATTTGTTGTCAAAAGACAGAGCGTCCCGCCCCCGCTGGTCTAGAGAGCTGATGTGCAAAAACACATACTGGCATTATGATTGAGCAGAAAAGAAAATCAGCAGAATGCCTAAATAGAGTCCCGTCAGTATTTATGGTGTATGCGTGCAAGAGATAAGAGTTATTTTCTGGCTTTCTGGTATATTTTTGATTAGCTGCACAAATGACTGTCAGAAACAGAGCAAGATGAAAGATCACTGGTCCGGTCCGCTGATGGAACAGCTTACATGACTCATCACTGACAGTAATGGGCCTGATGATGTATGTCACCACTGGAAAGTAATTCCAAGGACTCGGTAAAAACTCAAAACAAGACTCCAGAAAGAGGCTGAAAAATACAAGCAATGACAGCTTCCCAAAGAAACTCCAACTTATCTCAGGCCTCCACTGGCTCAAAGCAGTCACGGAGAAGTTATAATAAATACACAGTGTTACAAAAGTGAACAGTTTTTTATATCACGGCTTGTGAAGAAAAAGTCATAATATTGGCAACCACAATTCCAAAAAAGTTGGGTTCGTAAAATAGGGTTGGATTGGGGATGTTAAAAGCATACATTTTTATAGCCATGAGGCATATGCCTATAATAGAAATTGTTTTTATTTTAGACCCATTGATCAATCAATATATACCACGCAATCTAAAAGAAAAACACGCTGGTCTCATAACATTCCTTAACTTAAAAGGTAACAATCAATCGAATGCAGTGCATTAAAAGACCCCTTTTGGTTGGAGAGTGAGTCACCACTATTCTGGGTCAAAGGAGCTCCAAAGTTCACAAGCAATTTTCCAATTCTGCTCAGTAATATATCACCTTCTGTCTCATTGACTCTGAGGCCATAATCTAATAAAAGCTAGCTGCTGGTCTCAGGAGGCCAAAATTAGAACTATGCTGCATCACTCATGACAATAACGTCTTTGTCTGGCGCTCATTTCCTCCAAGTCTGGCCAGAATGAGATGAGAACACACCATAATTTGATCAAAAATTTTATGTAAAAAAAAACAACAACAAAAAAGACTTTCAGGAAAATGGGTTATTTGAAGTTTATTTTTTTATCTGTATTGTAATGGCATCCTATAAATATCTGTGAATAAAAGATAATGGAAGGCACACTCTGTCCACCTGACTTTAATTAGAGTTCTACCAAATTGCAATTTCCTTAATGGTTACTGGAGGGATTGAATTTACAGCCTCGAGAATCAAACCTTTACAATGAGCTAATTAACCTTACTTCTTTAACGGATCTTTGTACGGTGACCTGGTGTTGGCAAAGACCCTCAAGGGACAAAAAGGGTCATGCAACTGATGTCAAAATTTATTTAAATAAACAAGCAGTACGACAATGTCCCCGTCACTAAGGGATTTGAATAGTGTATGTTGTATGTTGAATGTTTTTGGCTGATTTAATTCACGCTGCTATATTCATTCATACTCATCTGCTCACACAGACTCGTGTTCGTGCTGCTGTTGTTCGGCGTATTATTTTTGCACTTCTAAGTGTTCAGCGTATTCTTAGTTTAAATCTTACATCTTATTACTGTTTTTTTATTTTACAATTTATACTTTTGTTGATTGTTACTGGGACCCTGTGTACACAATTTCGTTCCATCACATGTACCACACGCAATGCGAATGACAATAAAGAACCTTGACCTTGTAGTTTTTGAGATGAGTGTGTATTTCTGGACCCGAATTGAAAAATGAATACAAGCAAACTTTAATGTTTTTTGTGCAAGATATTCAAGTGGGTAGGAGTTACACAGTGTAGATGAAGTTATTATTATTATTATTATTAGCTTTACTTGTTCAAGGCAATAAAGAGGGATAGATCCTGGCAATTGGAGAGAGCAAAATTGTATAAATTACTAGGTGCAATGGCGAAACCAAGGGGTGGCCGATGGTGGCCTTCATAAATTAATCTTTGGCCACCCCAAGGGCTACCCTAATCATTTGAGGAAACTATTCATTCAACTGTTACAGGTTAACCCCATTGAGCTCGGGGGCTCATTTACAAGAGAGACCTGATATGGACAAAGAGTGATGACAACAGTGGACAACAAAGACAACAGTAGACAATCATAAAAAGCATATAAACTGAGAAGAACAAATACATGAAAATGGTATTAAAAAAACAAAACAAAAACAGCTAGGTTGTAAGGCAATCTAGAAAACTAAAAACGGGTACATGTCTGCATTTATGGTGGCAGCCATCTTGGATTTAGATGTGGCAACCCAATTTTTGAAAGGAAACTTTTTTATGTCTAAAAGCAGCCACACACTAAACTGGAAGTCCGTACAGTAATCCCTCAATAATCGCTGGGGTTACGTTCAACACACCATCAAGATAGATGAAAAACCGCAAAGTAGGAACGCTATATTTAATTTAGTATTTATATATATTTTAAGGCTTTATAAACCCTTGCCACACTCTCACAATGTTCTAAACTCAAACCCACGCAATTTTAACAACATAGGTATATGTACTGTACAGTACTGCAAAATTTTACTCACCAGCTCTGCAGAACAGCAGTTCGGTTCTGGTCGGGCTCAGTTCCGGTTCTGCAGACCTACCCTGCAGCGACGAAGCCCAACGACCTGTCCAGGTTAATGTGCGCGTGGATAATTAAGCTTCAGGAAACTTCAGGATTATTTTAAACTTTCCTGCCTGTTCTGCGAGTTTAATAGATAGATCGTTACTTCTGACTTTGCGTTGCAAAACTTTCCCTCCATTTCGACAGAAAGCAGCGGGCGGAAGCACTATTGGCTTCTGGGTAGTGTAGTTCTTATTACTGGTGTTACAGTGTAGGCTTATTGAAAGAAAACTATAAAATGGCAGTGCCATTGGTGTCTTTGTCTGGCATTTTCACCAAAGACGCCAGACAAAGTATTGACAGAAGGGTTTTTTTTTGTGTTATTTTTTTATTCTGTACATCTCAATCACGTGAGTAATATTAAAGTTGACAATCGCTGAAAAACCGCAAAAGAGCAAATCTGCAAAAGTCGAACTGAGAAGTAGTGAGGGACTACTGTACCTCACTTGTTTTTCAAGTTATCATGCTCACAACATGCACGCCGGACAGATGAACGAATGGAGGGTATTGCAAATTCCCCATCTTTGCTCCTCGACAAGGGACAAAAGAATTTTAAAAAATCAATAAGTGGACTTTTATGTTGAGTTTTAATCTCTAAGTGTCCACCACCTTAATGGTTTGAATACTAAACTGTTAACTTTTGATTCAAGTGTATGCACATATTAATTGTTTTTAAAAAAAATCTGGCATTTCTGGATACAAAACACCAGCATATCCCAAAGGATCAGAGTCCATTTGCAAGTGTGATGAGTGAAAACCTAGAAGCTAATAAGATAAAGATGCTCAATTGCTTTAAGGTCAATCAGGCCAGAAATGGGTGGAGTTTATTTTACAAGAATAAAGTCAAAAAGCTGCATCATTGTCCACGCTGAAAATAGCAGAGGGAATCAACAGGAGAATTGTGTGATTACATTACATCCCCCGAGCCCCGCCTCGCAGCATGATGTGAGCACTGCCACTGGACCATCGGTTTCCCTCAATACACTGGAATAATCAATCACCTAAGAGACTCGAACTCATCAGGGACAATGAATTACTGGGTTTGGGCAAATTTGAAAACAGCAGCTCATTTTCAACAGGCTGACCTCATTTCTGTAATGTGGTGAACATACAGAACATTAATCCTGGAGCTGTGCAGCAGCAGGGTGGACAGAGATGAAATGCTGAGACGATTAGTGTCGAGGTTGATTTTGGCTCACCTAATTTAGAAAAAAATCTAATGAAATCAAAGAAATGTATAGTTTGTGGAAAAATGCTATTATGAACTAACTGAACCAAAAGCAAAGAAATAACACTTTTAATATGGTGTATGCTTTACAGAAAAAGAGGCTTATTGTTGAAACACAGATGAAAGAACATTAAAGTGAAGCTTGTGTATAATTTTGATAGCATTACACTTTAGCAAGTTAATTTAGTTTAAATGCTTTGAACATTTGAGCCTTTGTCAACTTATACAAATGAACGATGGCTCAGATTCTGGACTACAAAAAATGATAAAAAATCATGACAAAGACAATGCATAGAGACAACAATCAGCAAATGAACAAAAATGTGTGCGCAATAACATCTTTAGAACAGTCGGGTTTTATTTGAGTTTTTATATTTTACAATATAACTCTATTGGTTTTATGAAATTTATACTGAGAACAATTCTTCTCCATCTCACTCTGTCCACTGCATCCTCTGTCCTCACTCCAACTACCTCCATGTCTTCTCTAACTGCATCCATATATCTCCTCTTTATCTTTTCCCTGTAAGCTGCATTTCTAACATCCTTCTACCAATATACCCACTGTCCCTCCTCTGGACATGTCCAAACCACTGTCCCTCCTCTGGACATGTCCAAACCATCTCAGTCTGGCCTCTCTAGCTTTATCTTCCAGTTATTTAACCTGTGCTGTACCTTTGATGATCTCATTCCTAATCTTATCCATTCTTGTCACTCCTAAGGAGAACCTCAACATCTTAATTTCTGTTACTTCCAGTTCTTTCTCCTGTCTTTTTGTCAATGTCTCCGTCTCCAGACCATACAACATAGCTGGTCTCACAACTGTCTTGTAAACTTTTCCTTTGACCTTTGCTGACACTCTTTTGTCACAAATCACTCCTGAAACTTTTCTCCATCCACTCCATCCTGCCTGGACTCTTTTTCACCCCTTTACCACACTCCCCATTTTCCTGAACAGTGGACCCCAAGTACTTGAAGTCCTGCACCTTTGTGACCTCTGCTCCTTGTAGCCTCACTGTTCCACATGCCTCCCTCTCATTTACACACTCTGTCTTACTAGAGCTGACTTTCGTTCCTCTTCTTTCAAGTGCATACCTCCACCTCTCCAAGTTCTCTTCCACCTGTTCCCTGTTCTCACCACAGATCTCATTGTCATCTGCAAACATCATAGTCCATGGGGCTTCCTGCCTGACCTCATCTGTTAGTCGGTCCATCACCAGAGCAAACAAGAACGGGCTCAGAGCAGATCCTTGACGCAATCCCACCTCCATCTTGAAGCTACCCTTCACTCCTACAGCACATCTCACCACTGTCCCGCTGTCCTCATACATGTCCTGCACCAGTCTAACATACTTCTCTGCCACTCCAGATTTCCTCATGCAATACCACACCTCCTCTCTCGGCACCCTGTCGTATGCTTTTTCTCAATCCACAAAGACGCAATGGAGTTCTTTCTGACCCTCTCTGTACTTCTCCATCAGAATTCTCAAAGCAAAGATGGCGGCTGTGGTGCTCCTTCTTGGCATGAAACCATACTGCTGCTCACAGATAGTCACTTCTCATCTAAGTCTAAATTCCTGTTTTGCTTACCAGGCACGTAAACATTTCTTAGATCTAATCTGTGTTAAAAAGAGAACTAAATCATTAAGCATCATCATCACTTAAGGTTCAGGTTCAGGTTAGGTTTATTTGTCATGTGCAAAATCAACACAAGGTCAACAGTGCAAAGAAATGCTTAGGACGAGAAAAAAAAACGTTTCAACTCACGCCCCCAGAATCAGAATAAGCTTTATTATCATCGTAACAAGATGCAGCGAGAATATGTCCATACAGTCATCTGAAAGATGGGCGGAGTGCACGTAGCTGCTGCTCTTTGCGAGTGCGGCCTCTTATCCTTTTCAGAATACTTTTAGATAGAAAAAGGGAAGGAACCATGAGGATGGATAGTGGTATTACAAAAAAGATCTCTTCACATCAAAAAACTCTACCAGCAAGCATATTTATAACACA